TCTCTCACAGATGCCAAACACAGGTTTCTTCAGGAGGGAATGGACACACCTGGCTGATAAGCCCCTGGGACTGCAGATCAGGGAGAGGAATGTTGAAGTAAGTCACACTCTCTCAGCTGACCCCTAAGGAATGCTCAACTATATCTTCCAAGTATTTCTCATCCAGACAAATCCACGTGGATTTGGCCACTGAAACATCTGGATTAGACATGGGCTTTCCTGTCACCTAACTAGAGAGCAAGGATAAGCACTGACAGTGTTGAGAGTTATCATCAGAGGAAGGTGTAAAAAACCCCTTGACAAATGTGTTCATTTTGGGTCCTTCCCTGAGTTACACAGAAGCCCAAAGACCTTATTTCAGCCAGTAAAGAATGAGCATTATCCTGTCCAGTGCTGGGCCTGTTGCCTGCAGACATACAGCTGCAATAAGCCAACCCTGCTGAGCTTTATGGAAACTTACACATTTTTAGGCAGTGCTGGGAGCTATAGATTTTTATCTTGGCAAGATATTTAACTCCCCCTTAAAATGAAAAACAGCTTTAAGCAGCCAGAGCAGCATTTCATTCCTTAAACATGTAATTCAGCTGCCTCAAACTCCACATGTAACACAACCCAAAGTGATTTAAAAATAATCTATCAGTGATCTAAAAGACAAAGCAAGATGTGAGGGGAAAGGCCTAGTTATTAAGGTACCAGACTGGAAAGGAGAACTCTCCTGCACTCTCCTCCAAGGAGCATGACCTTGATCAAGCAGCAGTGACTCAGTCTACTCACCCAAGTAATGGGGAGAATATAGTCCAAGCTCCTAAAAACACTCTAAAAGTGTTAAGATTTACCACTGGGGATTCAAGATGTATTAAAAGCACTTGACTGAAGAGAAGTATGTTCCACAGAGTGTGCACACTGCATTCCTCCCCCTACCAGTGTATTATTCCTCCTGCACTCCACACTCTTTGGAAAGCTCAGCCCTCTGCACCTGACCAAAATACACTTCCAAAGCCACCAGCAAAGGCTTTAAAAACATAGAGCTGATTGGCTTTCTTCAACTGCTTATTTCTGGCAGCACCTGCCTGGGCCAGGAGCATCTGTCCAGCTATAATCTGCACATTAGAAATTCATCTGCAGCCATTTATCTTCCAACTTTCCTTCCACCACAGGAGACCCAATGAGGCACAACCGAACGGTGAAAGCATCTTGCAAGCACAGCTAAGAGTCCCGGCAGAGACACAGCAGCAACAGCGCTGACAGGGCAATGCTGCCACCTGCGGACACCCAGCACAGCTCACCACTCGATGCTACCCTGCATCTCATCCTCTAAAACCACCTCCTAACGCATTTGTGTAGCAAACTGCACCAACAGCCAAGGCAGGAGGAGCCAAACCATGCTTAGGTGAGGGAGGAATTGTGCTGCCCCAGTTCTGTGGAGCAAATGAAACCAGGAGCAGAGAGCATGGCACTGGAAGGATGGCAGAGCACACCAGTGAGCATGAAAAAGGGCATCTTTATTCAAAAGATTAAAGTTCAGCTGAAACCTCCTTACAAATGCCAAACAGCACAAGGCACAGAAAGCTGCATCAAAGACAATTCTGCCATTAGTAGATGATCACTGAGCTGCTTCCCTGGTGATGTGGAAGGACAGGACTATGTGTGTGATTCCTGAAAGGACCATGTGATTTATAAGAAGACTCTTAGGGGTTTTTTTGTGTATGATCTTTCATGCACTCATAGTATAAACATGGCAGACAAAGACTTTCTTCCTTCCAGGAAGAGGTTTTAATCCATGTGCTAAAGTACAATTTGAGTGATATAAAATAATCGAACACAACATAATTAATAGAGTAACATTCAGACATTTTATTGACCAGGAGGTGCTTTAGGCCACACTAACAGCTGCACCACAGATCTGTTCATCTACCAGACACAGCTCATTAGACCTGAAAGGAGTTGTGGAAGTTTATATCCAAGGGAAGTAGTATGGGACAGGCAAAGAGGGTAGGGAGTGACCCAGCATCCTCCTCACACAGCAAACCAATAAATGAACCTCTCTTCCTACTCCATGATTACATCTGAGGATTATTTTGGTCTACTTACATTGGTTAAGTCACCTGTCAGGTTAGTTTATACCTAAAAATGTTTCCAAGTACTAAGAAGCTTTTGGAAAGGACACAGAACTAAAGCACTTTTTACTCTCCAAGCTATGACAGTGATATTGGCTCAGCATCCCTGTGAGGTAGGCAAAAAATTAGCTGTTTTGTGAGACACAGAGAAGTTAAATGACTTCCTCAAGCCATGGTGAAGGACTTAGCACTAATATCCCTAAGAACCTGGAATGATGCTGTTTTTCACAGACAGGGATTGGAGGCAACCAAGATCAGCAATTTCTTACTAGCAGAATTTTCATCTCATTCTTACTAATCAAATCATTTGAATCCTCCCCCAACCTTGAAAAGTTTTCCACAGACATGTGTTATGTACTAATGAGCTGTTTCATCTTGCTCAAAAAAAAAAGCACTGGTCTTTCCCAGCAGTAAACTGACATCCTCCCCAGGAAAGGGCAGCCAAGATACAACTAGATGTAAATACTCCAATGCTCATATCCTGGATCTTTCCACCATTACAACCACAGTTATCACAGGTATCAGCCAAGTATTAGTTATTTTCAGGAATTTAGCTGGAGTACTCTAGTTTGTATTGCAAAAGGAGTAGAAAAATGCTAACAATCCATTTTTAAACTGACAGCCATTCCAAACCAGGCTATCATAAAATAAAGCACAGAGCTGCTACAAAGGGCAGAGTTAACCTAACAGACCTACATATCCCCAATTGCAAGGTTAACAGGTGAGCCAGCTCAGCATTTATCCCCAGAAAAGCTTTTGGTTTGCAGAAGAGTGAAGTGGGTATTGGAGCCAGGTCTGTAGGCCCACAAAGCAGCAGCAGTAGATACTCTTGTTGTGTATGTCTGTATTTGAGAACAGTTTCCAAAACCTTCTGGATATCTCCCTCCATCCATCCGAGTTGAACTTTGGCATTTTCTCTTCGTGTTCCTCATCTAAACAAGTATTTTGCTGTAGAAAGCAGTTGCTGAAGTCCATCTCCTCTTGCCTTGTGCCTAATCACGTTAGAGATCATTTGGCCAGTTTTAATAAAAGACCAGACTGTGGCTGATTAAACAGCTCTGCAAAGAACCCTTCCCACTGCCTTCAGCTCAGCTGGGACAGCTGGTGACACTGGGTAACATGAAGCCACAAGAAGTCACTAACCAGCTGTACCATGGAATCAGCTACTACCAACTCAGCTTTACTACTGCCAGCACAACCCACTGATGGGACACTTGGTTCCATCAGATGAACCCCACAAGGGCAGAACTTACCTACAACAGATGGAGGATAACACCAGGTGAGTTTATTGCTAGTTTATTGCTCATGTGTAAAAGCCCTTCATACAGTGGTTAGCACACACCTCTTGTTCAGGAGCAAAGCTGTGCTCCAGGCACCAGCAGCTCCACTCCAATACCTGTGTCACTTCTGCTGAAGTTTTCCACAGCTCCTTCAAACAAACTTTTCACCAAAACAGGAACTGAATACTTTTTCTTCAACACACAAGAGAATCCAGCTGCCACTGAGTGACATGATAAGGATCAAACTCCCCTTTGCACTGAAGGCACACTTTTCCCCCCCCTGTGGTGTTTGGCATGTTTTTCACACTGCTACATAACTGCTGAAACAATCATTTTTCAAAGGGCCACCAGAACAGCAAGTGACAAGAGCTGCAGGAGAAAACAAAGCAACACTGTGAGGTGCAGAGGGGAGGAAAAAGAGGTGGGGAATTTCCCTTCAGAACTCACTTGTGAGTCAGTGGCACAAATTCTGGACTCCATTAGGAAAACTCTTGTTAACAACATTGGTTTCCTGCTGTTTCCATTCCTCATTTTTATGCAGACCCAATGCAATAATCCAAGCTTCTTTTTTCCTAAGCCTGTATCTTTCTCCCTTGCTAAACTGGGCTTCTTATAATAAGACACCTGATTATACTACTCCAGGCCTCCAAATAAACAGAAATAACAAATGAAAAAAAAACTCTTTCTTTTAAACTAAGAGTTTGTCATTTCACTCATGTACCCATTGCCCATACCCAGGCAGAGAAATCTGGCACTCTGGCAGCTCCTCCTACCTCCAAAACTATCATTTGAGCACATTCTAAGCAAAAGCAAAAATGGAAACCATTTGTTATTCTACCCACTGAGGCCTCTCCACTTGCATGGTCTGCATTTACAGCTTCATGGCAGAATACAGATTTACTGGTTTTGGCTTAAAGTTGTGCAGTGGGGCTAACTGTGCTCCATTTTAGCACCAACATCCCACAGAGATTCATAATTTGGAAATTTCTAGACTATAAGGAACAAGCAGAAGCAACAGTTAATGAGTTAGTATCTAGTCCATTTCAGGGGGCTTGGAAATTAAAGCTCAAAATTTGGCTAGGAGAAATAAGACAAAAATTGAAATGTAAAACAGATGAACTGTGCTCACAAGACATCGAAGTAGTAGCACCTCTGCTGTTAGGATGCTAAACATTTGGCAGTGTTTTCTGTTTACAGGAGCCACAGGACTCCCTGACCATGGTAAGAAAACAAGTGATAAGAACAATCATTGTGCTTGTGAAGTGAATGGAGAGTTTGATTTGAGGCTCCATCTTTCTTTCATTGAGCTGACAACAAAAGAATTCAGTGGCAGAAGGATGAGGTTCTTCAAACATTTACTTAACCTCATGTCACTTTGCTCTCCCAAAGCAAAGCTGCACAGGTCACCCCTTTGAAGAACTGACAAATCACTTTTTCAAGTCTGTTGTACAAACTAACCAAGCCCAGAAACTGTAAGATTCACAATCAACAGTGCAGGATGGACTTTCCCTTCTTCCCTCTGTCCAAAACAGCTCATTTCCCCACCACATCCACTGTCACTTGGCATGAATACTGAATGTGAGGCCTGACTCCACAGCCCCTCTCACAGCTTGGGCAGAGCACCAGCTGGTGCCAGTGTGATGCCAAACACATAGAAGAGCCCCAGGAGGAGGTTGAGCTTGGCTGTCCTCTGGGGAATCTTGTTGAAGCTCTGACTCCGAAATTGCCTCTCCAGTGAGAATGCCATGGGCATGGTGAGCAGGGGCAGTGCCATGCTGATGGTGTAGCGTGTGGCCAGCACACAGAAGATCAGGTAGGGCAGGAAGAGCAGCACAGTGTAGAGGATGTAGGAGAAGGTGGGGCCGATGAGGATGGCCAAGGTGACGATTCCTGCCTGCCGATCCGACTCCATGTCCCGTGTGTTGTTGCTGTGCAGGATGGCCTCGGTGCTGAGGGCCAGGGGCACAGCATAGAGCAGGGGGGACACTGACAGGTACCCCACCTGCACTGCGTGGGCAAACATCACAGCCAGGGGCCCAAAGGTGATCAGGATCACCACGTCACCAAGCGCCACGTACTTAAATCCGATCCCTGCGGGAGACACAAGGGGCAAAATCAACCAACATCAAACAGCTCAAGGACACAAGAGAACGGGGAACAGGGCAGAGCAGCCTCTCCCACAGAAACACTGCAAAGCCAGTGCACATGCAGAGTATGGCAAGAAGCAAATTATCCCTTTTCCCCAAAAATAATAAAGGAAAAGCAGCTCTGGATTTCTCCAGTTGAACTATGTAACAGAAACTAAGGGCCAAGTTCTAACACCCAATCTAAAAGTGCCTATTTCAGCAGAAATCTGTAGAATGAGGTACTCTTCGGTGTAATCATAGCACTAGAACCTGATCCTGAAGAAAGATATAAAATGCTCAGAAGAAAAAGCAAAACTGACAAAATACTTTCAAGGAAACTTAACTGTTTGAAGTTTCACAGTTTGAAATTGAGTTTTAGTTAACCTAGGAATGATGTCTGTGTCTACCCAACACAGGAAGGCACTAAAATCATCCTGTTCTTACCAAGCAGAATCACAAACCATTTCAAAATGAAGCTTCATCTAGGGAATGACAAGAAAACAGCCTAAAGCAAAGCAACAATTCCACCAAAGAAAAGAAAGTAGGATGTGAGCTAAGGGATAGGAGATAAATATCACAAAAAGATTTAGCAGCAGATCTGGTGAGAAGCTGAAGCCACATAGGTAAATAACAATGTCTCAACACCACTTTGCAACTGGAGAACTTAGTGTGACTCTTCCCACACCAACAGATGGCAAATAACACAAGTTTATGTAAACATACTTCAGAAAGCATCCCCAAGTGTTTCTATAAAAGGTAAGAAGACACACCATTTGCATCTTCTAGAAACCTTTGACAATTCAGCTCATTCTGCCCTGTTTACACTCAGACTCAGAGCGCACAGTGCTCACCTCCAGTATAAAGAAAAGAGCTGGAAAGTCCTCCGAAGTAAATCAGGGCCAGGTGCTCCAGCTTGAGCGTGGAGACGGCATAGAGCCCAGCGGCACACACACAGCCCACGGTGTAAAGGAAAACCCCAAACCGCACGACATCCTGAGGCTCCAAAATCTGGTCCACCAACGTCCTGTCATCACTCTTCTTGTGATCGATGCCTTTGGAGAAGTCGTAGTAGGTGTTGACCAAGTTGCCAGCTCCGTGCACGGCCAGCACGGCCACGGCGCTGCCCAGCAGCAGCCCCGGGTCGAGCGCTCCCTGGGCGCG